CCCTGCCCTCCCCTTGCGGCCTCTGCAGGCCTCCCTGGGATACTTTGTGATCTGCGCAGGGGACACGTTGGCACTTCTGCACACCTGAGAATCAGCTTTGCCTACACCCTTGGGTAAACAAATACTTCCTGAGCACTTACAGTTCCATAAGTAGTTCTTGAGCACCTACTGTGCACCAGGCCCTGTTCTAGTTGCTGGGAGAATGGCAGTGAGTAAGAGACCAAACTTCCTCATGGAGATTGTAACGTGTCTCACATGGTCCGGGGCCTAAGAAGACAAACACACACACCTAGAAACAGTCTAGCTGAGACTCAGCCTGGTGGCCAGCCCCCCTTACTAGGACTTTTCGGCAGGACTCCTCCTTCCTTTGCCTCTCCTCAAAAGGCTCTCTGGGTCCCAAACCTGCCCCTCCTGGGGCTGCCTCCTCCAGGAAGCTTAGGTCAGGATAGGGGTGAAAAGGAGGGAGATTCCCACTGCTCCCTGTACCCCTGAAGCTGGATGGCCACCCACTGCGGAGTGATCTGGAGGGGTGGGGGGGGGATCCCGAGGTACTGGGCCTTCAAGTCTGTCACCACCAGCAGCTTGTTTGTCCGGCAGGACCTGACATTACACACTTGTCTGTGCTCTTTGCTCCGGAGTACACCTATTGATTCTTATTGAGCTGCCAGCTGACCCGAAGAGGTGGGAACAAGCAGGAGAGGAGGCCTGGGAAGGGAAAGGGGCCCAGGAGTAGCTGGGACAGTGGATCTGGGCAAAGGCATCTCAGACGTGGGGACTTGGCCCTGGATTGTCCCAGGCCAGCCACCTTCTGGTGATGAAAGCCCCATAGTACTCAATGGAAGCTGGCCAGGGGCAGATGAGGGTGGGAGCTGGCCAGGGAGGGTCAGGGCCTGCTGAAGGCCAAAAGGCAAATGGGATGCAAAGTAGCATACAAATGAATGCCCACTCATTTTACATAGAAGGTTTCTGGGAGATTGGGGGTGCCAACCAAAGGGGTTTCTCCTGCTGTCACCTTCACAGTCCCCCTTGGGTTCCAGAATTGTTGAGTTGTGAAGAATTGCACAATCAAGCGTATATATTAAGCATGTGATGGATAAGCTTGAAGTCAGACAATCTGGGTGATTTGCTAGCTGTGTGACCTTGGTGAAGTCACTTAATTCTGAACTTCAGTTTCTTTACTTGTCAAGGGGGAATAAAAAAGCTTGTCCAGTCTATCTCCTTGGGTGGCAGTGGATGTAAATGTTAATTATCACTCATTTATTAAACAAATACTAATTACTTATTGCAGAGTAAGTCTCCAACACATCCAGGCGGGCAGGCGTGGGGATCAATTTAATTGTAAAGGCGCTTATGATGTAAGGGCTCTGTGTCACTTAAGACCCCTGGGGGACTTTGAATTCTACTGAGGATCAGGCCCAGATTCCAGGATTCTTATCCAAGCTCTTTTCCAGATCCTTCTCTAATCCCTCCCCCACTCCAACTGCTCAGGACCTTTTGGGGTCTGTGGAGGCTCAGTCCAGGGGCAGGAGGGGAAAAGCTGCCAGTGGGTCTTATCTCCCATAGCTGATGTCAGTGGCCACATTCCTGACCTCTTGCAGCAACCTCAGGTTCCAGCAGCAGCCTGCCCTTTTCCACTACTTCCAGATTCGTTTCTGGTTCAGGACCTTGTCATTCTGTCTGACAGCCTCTGGGAGAGCTGGGGATGGAGGCATTAGGGAGGAGTTTTGGTCCTCAGATTCCCAGCTCTGGGGCTCTCAGACAGAGTGGGGGGTGGGAGGCAAGGTGAAGGAGGGAAGGGGTAATTGGGAGGCTGGTCCTGGGAAAAGGTGGAGCTGGAGGGGCCCTGGTGAGACATTCCCAGAACAAAGTCAAAAGGCACTTAGAGTAAAGGGGAGGGGGATGATTCCCCACCCCCATCCTGCCCTGCATTCCGGTGTCCTGCTCAGGGACAGTGGGGAACCTGAGAGGCAGGTTTAACTACTGAGTAAACTCAGAGATGATCATGATAAGGTTAGGTTAGTTCATTCCTCCCCCCTCCCCACATTCTCCCTTGGAGGGCAGGAGCCAAGGTTCCTGTGGAAACTAGATGGTGGGAGATTAAGGGATTAGGCAGGATCATGAGGCCTGGAGACCTTTAGATTTTGCTTTATCATTTAGACTGGAAATTTCTCAACCCAGAGGAGGGAGAACAGCAACTGAGGGAGAATAGTTTAGAATAGCAATTGAGGTAAGGGGGTGGGGATGGGTTTAGAGCTCAAACTGGAAGGTGCTGATTCCCATCCTCTCCTCCAAAGGGGTGCTGGAAAGAGTAGGAGGTCCCTGTATTGGAGGAAGCCAGGTGGATGAGATGGTGGCCTGGGAGGCTCCCCAGCACCCCTCAGTAGAGGGCCCAATGCATGCCAGTGCTCCTCCCACAGGAGGACCTTGAGGGCTACTAGAAATTATTTTGATTCAAAAAATTAGTGTAAAGGGGGTACTGGTGAAGCTGGAAGGCCAACAAATGTGGTTAGGTGAGTAGTGGAGGTAGGTGCAATGATGTGGGCTACAGTTGGGTTGGGTGCAGGACCCAGTCTGAATCTCTCAGGACTTTGGGAATTTCTCTGGAGGTGCTCCTTTCCCATTTAGAGGTCCTGGGGAGGTTTGTCCAGTGTTGAGAGTGTGTGTGTGTGTGTGTGTGGGGGGGGGGGTTC